GAGGATGTAGCTCAGAGTTAATGCTTTTTTGTAACATATGTAGATATAAGGCCCTAGAGGACTGCCTCCCCTAAAAGAAAAAGAAAATAATTGATTACAATCAATTTATAAAATATAGAGATCACTAAACAATTATTCAGAAATGTTAAAAATTGGGCTGGGGATGTGGCTCAGCTGCACAGCACCTACCTGACAAGTGCAAGCTAATGGGTTGGATTCCCAGTATCTAAAACAAAAACAAAACAAAAAAGAAATGTTAAAAATCAAAGGGCTAACAAAAAGTTTTGGGGAAAAGGAAACAAGAATAGGATCCTGATGTTAGAGTAAAATTTGAGTCACAGAGCATTAAAAATGAAAAGGGACAGTTTTTTAAATATAAGATAAGTCTGTAAATATATACTAACATAGCAGCCATGTTCATGAAGCACTACTGGAGATGCAGAGAAACGTAGTTGGAAACACACTTTACAGTATTAGGAGACTTTGGTATTCTTGATACAAAAGATTATCTGTAGAAAAGTGAAGTGAGGAGATAAAAGAGCAAAACATTGGTGGTAGGGTAAATGTTAGATACATAGTGAACTTTGCATCTTTGGTAGAGGAAAATACTCATTTTTCTTAAATACCACACAATACATAAAATGTTTTTAAAATGCAATCTAGTTGTTTTAATGAGATTTGCATCATTATGACCAAATTCTCAGGTCTTTGGTAATGTTTTAGTAGAAAAATGAAGGGAATATAAACTCAATAGTCAAGTTACCATGAGTGACTTAACTTTATGCATTAATTTGATACATTGTTTTTTATCTTGTTTCATTTAACTGCTAAGTTTCAAGATTGGTGTGTTGCTGACAGTACTGCACTTTACAGAGTTAATAGCCACAGGTACCCCATTTATATTTTTTTTAAAATGTAGCAACTAGGTTTTATATATTTCTTCCTACAAGGACATTTTATAACTTTACTCCAAAATCTTATTGGGATTTATATTGTTTTAATCCTTTATTTTTAAAGAAAAATTTGAAGAGAGCTGGCATTTTTATAGTAATGAATCTTATCTCAGAACATGGTCCCTTAAAATTAATGTAGTTTTGAACAACTATTTCTAAGATAACAATATGTAATCTATTAACTAGTGATTTCCTGTTTATTTTTTCTGAAATTCTGTATAACTTTTTCTGTTTCTTTTTTCTTTTTCTCCTTAAATAAAATTAAAAAAAAAAAACAGGAAAAGAAACTTGTCATAGGAGAGAATCCCCCCCCCCAAAATTAATGTAGTTCAAATTTCCTTAGCGAGGTTTTTCTGATTTCCTCATATCTGTCTGAACATATTTTCTAACCTCTAATGGTATTACAACTGTTTAGGAAAACTGTTTCTCTTTCTCCATTGTTTTGATGTTGAGTTACCTAGCCAAACTAATAATAAACTTAATAATTTTTAAGGTGATTTCTTGGACTTCTCAGTAGATACGTATATCATCTGCGTTTTTCAAAATATCACATCTTACAACATTAATTAAAACTTAACCGGTTTTTAGAACAGTAGTTTGGGCATTCTTGTCTAGTTCATGACTTTTATTAGTAAAGCTTCTGATATTTGTCCATTAAGTGCAGTGCTTGCTGTAGAATCTGGTATGAAGGGTGTCTGGTTTCCTTTTTTTCTTCTGAAGGTCATCCATCAGAATTGAGATTTGATTTCTTTGTTTTAAAGCCATGAATTATTCCTTTCTTTAAGGCTTGATAAGATTTATTCTTAAATCTATTCAGGTTTCTAAGATAACAATATGCAATGTATCAACTAGTGTTGTTTTCCTACTTTTAAAAACAATTCTGTATCATTTCTTTTTGTTTTGTGTTTAAAATAAAATTTTAAAAAACTAATCTTTGGTGGCTCTAAAAAAGGTTAAGATTAATAAAAATCTATTCAGGCTTCCTGCCTTTCAAAAGAGTGGATCTCATACTCTTGTTCTGTTTTCATTTTGTATCTTTCTCCTATGCCTTAATAATTGGTATTTTCCTAGAAAATCATCTGTTTGTCTAGATTTAAAAAGTTTTCATTATATTTTACTTTTCATTGTCTTCATACCTGTTACTGTCTCATATTGTTCCTAATGTTGTCATCTTCATCAGAGTATGTATTTATTTTTATTAGTCTTTTGAAGTAGCTAGTTATTGGCTTATTTGATTAAATCGTTTATTTGTAGTTTTGATTCTTTCATTTCTATTTTCCTTTTTATCAATTTCTTTGTATGTCTACATTTCTTATTACCTTGTAATTTTTGAACTTTGTTGATTTGTAGCAGTTTTTTCATACTTTCTCTTTGCTAAGCCCCTCACCTCCAGGTGTTTTTTGTTTGTTGGTTTGTTTGGTTTTGTTTTTTGGTAGTGTTGGGGATTTTCAAACTTGTGCATGATGGATAAGCACTCTACCACTGAGCTACATCCCCTGCAGACCTTTTTTGCCCTTTTTTAGTGAAAGGATTCTTCAGCTTTATCGTCCTGTACATTATAATATTTTCTTTCTCTGCCTTGCCCTCCTCTATTAATTCTTTTGGAGATTAGTGCCTCTGCTTATTGAATTTGATGAATCTCACCCATGGTACTCACTCATTTTCAAAGTATTTGATGATTCTTGGATTGTTTATATTTGTAATATAGGTGTCTCATTCACGTGTATTAGTTTTCTCTTTCAAGTATGAATCCCATTTATATAGCATTGAATCTAGGCTCTAATTAAAAGTTAGGTGCTTTTGTGATTTTAGTGGAACTAAAGGTAACTTGCCTTGTCAGGTCACCTTTTGAGATTTTCCTGTTAGAATCACAAGTACACTGGGGACACTTCTCTGCTTCTCTGGCACTTGCCCAAATTTGTCAGGTTCTCACTGCAAAAAGCTTCTTATTTAATATATGAAGCTTCTACAGCCCCTAGAATTGTCATGTTGTTATCCGTATCTGAGAAATTATAGATTTTAATATATATTATATATATTAATATTTGTAGTGTTAATTTTCTCATGGCTCTTCTCTTTGTTTTAAATTATGAAAGTCTGTGATGGTGGGGGAAAATTGGTTTCTATTTTTTAAAAAAGCACGAAAGGAGAAATTTCTATAAAAGAAAAAATAGTAGTAGCTTAGACTCTGTTGTCCATAATTTTGGTGAAGAACTTTGCACTATCTTTTAGTAAATTGGGACTAGACACATTTGTCATCACTCATTATTAAATTTTTTTTCACATTTTTCTCTTTTTCTCTGCTTTTGGGCAATATAGTTAGAACTGTACATTGCATTTTAATTATAAATGCACCAAATGTATAAATTAGTTAAGAATGATTACAATTTCATGATACTCAAAATTTCTTCCCAGGACTTAGGGTACTGACAAATTTGTTAATGTTTTAATTAAATTCCATAAGGTCAAGAATTAGTAACAATTTATGACAATTTTCAAAGTGTTGGTATCTTTTAGTTTCCATACTTTTCTGCCTTGTTTAGAAAGCACCAAAATAATAATAATTGTTACTATTATTATTAGGCACTTCAGGGATCAATATAGTTTTTTTAGAGACCTTCAGTACAGCTGGAAAGTTGAACACTAGATATTTGATAATCTTAAAGAATTATTAACTTTTAGATGTGTTAAAAGTATTTTGGTTATATTAAAGCACCTGATTGTATATACATTGTATATAAAAATAGACACACTGAGATAAGTTATATGGAATTTACTTCAAGTTGCATAAAGAGAAAAGTATAGTATATAGGGGCATGAAACATGATTGGCCATGAATTGCTAATTATTGGAGCTGATAATTGTAGGGTTCATTATTCTATTGTTTCCTTTTGTGTGTATTTGAAATTTCTCCACAACAACAACAAAAAAAAAAATACAGAAACAAACTTAGAATGTTAAAGCAAAGAAAAATAACTAATCATGAGTAAATCTAAATACCTTGATAGCCATGGGTCAAAAATATTTTTGAAAATTGATTCTATTGTTTCCTGCCCACTTAAATAAAGATAAACTTTTTAAAGCTCATTGAACTCCTGTTTACCTTTTTACTTCCGAAATCATAAATCATTTATACATACTAAATAGAAGTATACCATAGGTTTGCCATCAAAGCTCTAGTCTAAACTTAGGCCATCAATTATGATGTTAACTGTAGGATTTTTTAGGTGTCTTTATCAAGTTGAAAAATTTCCATTCTATTCCTACTTTGACAAGTGTTTCTTATATCATGAAAGAGTTTTTGGATTTTGTCAGATGCTTCCCTTTGTTTCTTCTGAGACGTCATTTGTTTTTGTCCTTTATTTGGTTAATATGGTTTTTTTATTGATTAAACTATTCCACTTGTTTAACCACTCTTACATTCCTTGGATAAATTGTACTTGGAATTTGTGTTCAACTCTTTTTATATATTGCTGGATTTGTTTTGCTAGTATCTTGTTAAAAGATTTTTGCATCTGTGTTCATAAGGGATGTTAGTTGTAATTTTCTTGTGATGTGTTTGGATTTAGTATGAGAGTAGTAGTTTTTTTGGGTTTTTGTTTGTTTGTTTTTTATACCTGGAATCGAACTCATGACTGACTTTTGCAAGGCAGGCGCTTAAGCTGCTGAGCTAAATCCCCAGCCCAAGAGTAGTAGATTGAATTGAGAGGTATTCTCTTCTTTGGAAGAGTTTGTAAAGTATTTGATTTAATTATTCTTCAAATCTTTGGTAGAATTTACCTGCAAAACCAGATTATGGGTTTGTGAGAAAAGTTTCGATTACTAAATTTTTTTTACTTTATATGTCTATTCAGATGTTCTATTTTCTCCTGTAGTGTTTTCAAATTTGAAAAACAAAGCAAATACAAGTTATTTGTAAGAGGTTGTATGATGTGATGTTTCAAAACTTGTGATTAATGTCTTTTACCTCCACTATTTTACAATCTTACTTCATAATGGCTTGAAATCTAAGTTTTACTTTTTTTAATGTTATTTTTATCTCAGCAGCAATGCAGCAAGTCCTGGAAAACCTTACAGAGCTGCCCTCATCTACAGGAGCAGAAGAAATAGACCTAATTTTTCTCAAGGGGATTATGGAAAATCCTATTGTGAAATCACTTGCTAAGGTATATTGGCTTATCATTAAGAGTACTGAATTATTTTGAAAATGTGTTCTCATAGAAGTAAAACAATATTGCTCTTTTAGGATATGGGTGGTATACCTAGCAATAATTAAAAAATAATAACAAATCAACACTCATCACATAATGAAAACTTAATGTAAGATATACAAAAATGAGACCAATATTGCTCTTCCTGTTCTGTCTTTAAAAAATTCAGATTGATATGACTTTGTTTTTGGCCTAATACTGCTAAGGTTTAGAGAAATTAGAATAACATGGTTGACCATGTTGTTATGGGGCCCTTGAAAAAATCCTGTTTATCTCTGTTTTCAACAGCAAGTTATTGATTTTCTTATTTTAAATTATAATTTGTACCATTTTTCAGTTAGATTCTTCTTAATGTATTACTTTTTGAAATGTTGTTTATTCTTGCATAACTCAGGTATTTTAAGTCTATTTCCATAGTCAACTCTTAAACAATCTCCTTAACTCATTTCATTTATACTTTTTTCAATTTCATTTTATATATACTTTTTCTTCATAGTAATTTTTATAATTGCTACTGAAGCTTAGTGTGTTACTTGCTTCACAATTCTGCTATCCCATGTGGTAGACTTGTCCCAAATGATTCTTACTTTCAGGAACCTGTGTCACATGTTTTCTTACCTTTCCTTCATATAGCCATTTTGTCATCTTTATGCTTTACCACTCGTAGAATGTTGATTTTATATTTTTTTTGTAGTTTTTCTTTTTTTAAGCTAGTCTTTTATCTCGTTTCCTTGCAAGACATCTGAAAAATTTGCCTTTTATAAAGTTTCCATTAGTAAGAATAAGATAATGATGCAAATTCTTCATAAGTAGGAGCTGATTATCCCTATGCTTAATGGCTTGCTCTAGGTTCATATTGGTACTTTAAAAACAGTTTTCACATTTGCATTGGTATTGTACTGTTGATTTTTAGTTTTTAGTGTCCATAGATCAGTTATATCCCTGCTCCCTTGTATTTAGTTTGTAGCTTTTGATCTGTGGTTTTTGAAACTATAATAATGTTTCTAAGACATTTACAACATGCTTATCATTTATGAAGATTTTTATACTGTTCTTCCTTTGTAACAACTTTATGAATTTAAAACTACGATTTAAAGTAAACAAATGATTTTCCTAAGGTCACTTTTCTAGTAAATGACAGAGAAAAGGGTTAGGACAGGTGTTCTGTCTAAATTTTGTGCTCAATCTATTGCAACACAGGGTTTGAGTGTATGTCTTTATTATTGACAACTTCTGAGGATCAAGATTTATTTTGTGCCACTGATTATAGTCTTTCAGAGGGTCATCTATTTTCATTATTAGCAGTTTAAATGTTTGAATAACTTTGAGCACATAAAGTATAATTATAAACTTACTAATTAAAAATGAAACAATCACTTAATATTCAGAATCAATAATATTCAGCATTCAAGCAGCATTTCAACAACAAAACATCAGTATTTAGGCACAGTATGTAAAGAAATCATAGGAGTAAAGGAGGACCTTATCAGTAAATTCCATATTAGACATTTAAGGAAGAAATAACATTAATTTTATATGATTTCTTCAAGAAAAAAAAGGAAGGGACTTTTTCCATATTGTCTTAAGAAGCTAGTATTACCCTGATTATCAAAATTAGCTAAAGATATTTCAAGAAAACTACAGAGCAGTGTCCCTGATGAAAATGATTTAAAGTTAAAATATTAGCAAATTAAATGTACCAGTTACAAAAAATAATACTGTATTACCCAAGTGTGTTTTGTTTGAAACAAAAGTATGATTGCAGTACTATTTCGAAACTAACCAATGTGTATTACCATTTTAACAGACGTGATTTTTTAAAAAATTGATCTTGTTAATTCTTTCAGGAAAAGAATTTCATAAAGCCGAACATCTGTTTCTGATTTAAAAAACAAAAAACTCAGCAAACTAGGAATAAAGGAAAATTTCCATCAACCTGATAAAGGATGTTTATTTAAAATCCACACAAGTAATATTATAATTCACAAGATAGAATGGTTTTCTAAAGGGCAGAAGTGGGTAAGGGTTCGACTTTCATCATCTCTGTTTAGCTAGCTAGTGCAAAAATGGAAGAGGGAAAGCAAAACAAAGCATATAAATTGGAAAGAAAAAAAAGCCATCTTTATTCACGGATGACATCATTCTTGTTGAAAATCCTAAGAATCTATACCCTTAAAAAACGGTCTAGAACTTGTAAATTAGAACTAATATGTGAGTTTATAAAGTTAGTGATACCAGATCATCTGTATAAATCAATTGCATTTTATATATTAACAATGAAAATTGAAGATTGTCATTTAAATAGGAATAAATTTTCTAAAATACATATGTACATACAAGAGCCATACACCGACAGCAAAACATTACCAAAATCAAGGAAGGCATGAACTCTTATACATACACAGATCATATAAAAATGAAGGGTTTGGAAGGCTCTCTTTACCATGTCAGTCCTCTTTACATTGACCTAAGCTTCAGCATAATCTTGTCAGAATTTCAGAAAATTGGTAAAATATTCTAAAATTTACAAAAGATCTAGAGTAATGGAGGAACATATTGTTGAAGCAAATTGAATATTCATAGGAAAAACTTTTCTTCACACTATTTGTAAAAATTAACCCAGAATTGATCATTGATCTAAAAGTAAGAAATAAAAGATTATCAAAATTTGAGGAAGAACACATATCAAAAAAGATTGTGACACTCAGGATTAGACAGAACCTTTTTTTTAACTATCAAGAATTGTATGTTTTTTGTGTACAACATGTTTTAAATAGGTATACATTTTTGGAATGATGAAAGCATACAAAATAACCTGCGTTGCCTCACATGAGATTTGTTAGGTAAGACAAGCAATGTATGAAATATTTGATAAATTTTATCAAAAATTATCAAACTATCAAAACTAGAAACATACCTTTAAAAAAGGCTTAATACAGGCTGGGATAAAATATTTGAAAAGCACATTATTGTAGAAAGGAAACTGCCCATTCCTTGATAGTAGTTCATAATGCTACAATTACTTTGGAAGACAATCTGGCAGTTTCTTAAAAAGCTAAACAGACTTACCATGCAGTCTCACAATTGTGTTCTTTGGTATTTGCCCAGGTGAATTGATGGTTTACATCCACACAGATATCTTCACATAATATTTATGTCAGCTATATTCATAATTGCAACAACTTGAAGTAATCAAAGTACCTTTCAGTAGGTGGATAAACAAAATGCAGTATATACATATAGTAGAGTATTACTATATGATAAAAAGTGAGCTATGTAGCTGTTAGAGGACATGGAATAATCTTAAATGCATATTGTTAAATGAAAGAGACCGTCTTGCTTCATCTGTATGCTTCCAACTGTATGACATTCTTGAGAAAGCAGAAGCTATAGAAACAAAGTTAAAAACTCAATAGTTGGCCAGGGTTTTGTGAGACAAGGATGAATAGAGTAGACTTTTAGGTCAGTGGAATTATTTTGTTTGTATTTGTGACATGCATTTGTCAAACCCATGGGACTGGACATGACATAGGGTAAATTCTTAACATGAATTACACATTTTGTAAGATGGAACTACTAAGGTAAACTGAGTATGGGGTGGAAAGGAGGTAATACATGGGGATTCTGTACTTTTGCTCAGTTTTCTGTCAAATGAAAGTTTTATCAACTGAAGTCTATAGTTTACATTAGGATTTACTCTGTTGTACATTTATATGCCTTTTCTGGTTTTGCTATTAGGATAATGCTGACTTATAGAGTACGGAAATATTTCCTCTCTTCTCCCATCTTATAAGAGTATAGAGAAATGGTTTGATTTCCTCTTTAAAAAATTGATAGAGTTTACTAGTGAACACATCTGGCCCTGGTGCTTTTCATTTTGAGAGGCTATTAATTATTGATTTAAGAAACAGAACTATTAGTATTATCTGTACCTTCTTTTGTGTGGTTTGATAGATGGTATCTTTGAAGGAATTGATCCATTTCATCTACACTATCAAATTCATAAATGTAAAATTATTGCTATCTTTGGCATTAGTGATGATCTATGTTTAATTTGTAATACCAGTAAGTTTGTGTCCTTTTTTCTTAGATAAGCTAGTAAGGGAGTTTTCAGGGGTTTTTTTTTTTTTTTTTTTTCCATATTTTTAAAGAACCCAGTTTTACTTTCATTGATTCTTCTCTGTTGATTTACATTCTTTTCATTTTTATTGATTTATACTCTTAATTACTTGTTGTCTACTTTGGATTTAATTTATTATTCTTTTTGAGTTTCCTAAAATGAAAATTTAGATTTTTGGCTTTTAGATTTTTCTTCTTTTCTAATATTTGCATTCACTGCAACTAATTTCCCTTTAAACACTACATTCCACTAATTTTGATAAATTTTCATTTTACTTAGTTCAAAATATCTTATAATGTCTTATAATGTGTTATTTAGAAGTGAGTTGTTGAATTTCCACTGTTTTGGAATTTTCTAGCTTTTGCAAGAAATATTTAGTAAGCAATAGCTACATTACCTTCCTTAGGTCTGTTCTAAAAAGATTGAAACAAAATTTATTTTGTTGACACCATTCTTGTTTTTAATGGATAAATGCTTGGTTACACATAATATTACCATTAACATTAGGAAATATGTTTGTCACTTTAGTTGTAACCCAAAACTTTTGTTTAGTTATATTTGCAAGCATGCTTGGATTGTATATGAATGAAATACTCAGAAGTTCTCAAAGTACTTTTTTCTTCTCTACAGTTCAGTTTTCTAAGGTAGAGTGGTTAATTTGATTCTCAGAACTGGACATACAGAAGGCTAGGCCATATTTGTATTGGGTCAAATAATTCTGCAGTTTCATCATAGCAAGTTCTTCCAAACCAGTTATAACAAAATAAAACATATTTTGTTGAGTTATGCTAGCTTTCTAATACTTCTTTTTCTTGTTGTTACTTTCTTTGTGTGTTTGTTTAGTGGTGGTGGTGATGGTGACCCTGGGGATTGAACCCAGACTCTTCTCACTGAGCTACATTCACAACCCTTGCTAAATTATTGAGCTGGGCTCAAACTTGGAATTCTCCTGCCTCAGCCTCACAGAGTGCTGTGAATACAGGCATGTCTCACCATGACCAGCTATTTTCTTTGCTTTCTTAGTTTGCTAAGTTAAATTCAGAATGGTACTCTTCCTCTTGAAAGCTAGTAATAAATTCTGACTTTAAAATGAATAAAAGGACTGAAGCTTTTTTCACATATTTCAGTTTTAAAAACTACATTATTAGTAATGTTTACTATGTTTGGAAAACTAAAATCGATCTTAGTTGAACACAAATGTATTTCAGAAGTTGGTTTTCCATTATAATAATATAGCTGTGATTTCACACCAAAAGAAAAAAGTAACTTTCCGTGAGAATTTCTGTATGTTCTATTGAGAGTCTTTCTTTCTGTAAAACCAGTCTTGTGAGTTCACATAAAAAAATTGCAGGTATGTTTGTATCATCTTCTATTATAGTTTACCCTCCTATGTGGCTCCTTTTTCTCTTATCATTGTTGCTTTTACATTCCCATTTATCTTCACCCAGTTTGTAATAGGTGAATGAGAAGAGAAATATAATGATCAAGTTGCCAGTCATTTATGTCCATAAGTCCTCAAATGAACCAACGTTTACCAATGTCAAAGTTATTATGTGCTGATTATGTAACAGGATAATATAGAAAATGTATCGACATAGTGCCTGAAAGTAGTGAGCCAAATGTTCTATAGTGCTCTTTCTTAGAGCAAAGGAGTAAACATCAGAAAAGATTTTCTGAACTATAGGAATATCAAATAACTATAGGTAGAATACAAAGCAATAAAAATAATTTCACACATCTTCACTGGAAGAATCATGCTAAGAGAAACAACAACTAAACTAGCAATCAGTGAAACTATATCGTACACTTTTAAATGGGAATAATGCATTATATATTAGATTGAATTATTAACTGTGAGATGATTTTAGATTGATTCTCTGTATAGTGATAAAGTCAAATATTTTAGTAGATAAGAGCTCAAGTCTTGATATTAACCACCCCATTTCTATGACTAATCAGCTGCATGAGCTCAAGCAATCACTTCACCTTTTTGTATTAGTGTCTTCATCTGTAAAAAGGATAAACATATCTACCTTTTCTAAATGTGCACATATACCTACATGCACATAACACAGAGAGAATACATAGTGAGTATACTAGTACCAAAAAAGGAAAGCCTTCAACAAATGTTAAGGTTTCTTCTTTCTTTAAAAGCTTTTGTCAGGCTGGGAGTTTAGCTCAGCGGCATAAGTGCCTGCCTTGCAAGCATGCAGTTGTGAAAAAAAGCTTTTATCATATATTAGCATGACAGTGTTGAGTTTTACAACTGTTTGTAGTCCCACTTACATGAGAGACAGAGGCAAGATTGTGAGTTTGATATCAGCCTGGGCAATAGAGCAAGGTCCTATATTTTGGGTGGGGGGATAAGGGAGAGGCGGGGAGAGGAGCTAGAAGAATAGGAAAGGAGAAAGGAAAGGAAGAAAGGAGGGATATTTTACTCTTGTGAATCATGTACAAAAAAATACATTCAAACAAAAAGGTGATCTTTTTAAAATTTAGAATGTTATATTTGGAATGTAAAGGATTCACTGTTTGGTGGTAGACATAATATGTAAATCTTTATAGAAATCTGTTAAAATTTAGTTAATACTGCTTGACTTATAAATGTAAGATTTATCAAGTATTTTATTGATGAATTAAATCTTAATAATTGTCTTTTTGTCTTAAATAGTAGACATCAGAAAAGCAAAGGATATTGAAAAATTGAATCTTTTTAATGTTCATTTTCAATTCACCTTTAAAAACTGCTTTATTCCTGCTATGAGAGAGGATAATTGAGTTTAGTTACATGCTGTGACAATGATTCACAGTATATTTTCTGTGGAAAAGACTGTATGTTTCAGGAGGATTTGTTCCCTCAAACCATGAGGTCTGTTAAAGTCCAGCTCATGAACTACCTGCTCTAAAGTGACTTTTATATTTATATTTTTCTTTCTTTTTTGCTGTGATGGGAATCAAACCCAGAGCCTTATGCATGGTAGGCAAACACTCTACCCTTGAGCTACATTCAGTAATTCCCAAAATTAGAAAATAGAAGCTTTCAAATTCTGGAATTTCAAAATTTTTTTAATCTTTTTTTTTAAATGTTAACATATATAATTATTATATATTTGTATTACTATTCTTTGCCTTTGTCGTTTTTAATATGCAATCTTTTAATCTTTTAGTAAAACATAAACATTAGCATCTAGAGTTCAAGCCTCAACTAAAAAGGTTCTAGGAAATCCCATTGGTAGATAAAATGGAACATGTTTTTAGTAGCTATCTGAGCTGTTCAGTTTTTTTCAGGGGTAGTTTCAAAAATGAGCTTTTCATGACTTGTAGGATAGAAATAGAAGCCAAAGTTTATTATATTGCATGACATATTTGCTATAAACATCATATATTTCCTTTGGCTGAAATATTATCTATTTTAAGTGTATCACATCTCCAAGTAATATCTTTTAAAACTATGAAAGAGAAATAAATGAATAAATAAGTTGATCTGGAGTAAAATAAATAATTACTGTTGCTTTAATAGACTTGTCTTTTTAGGCTCATGAGAGGCTTGAAGATTCAAAATTAGAAGCTGTCAGTGACAACAACTTGGAATTAGTCAATGAAATTCTTGAAGATATCACACCTCTAATAAATGTGGATGAAAATGTGGCAGAACTGGTTGGTATACTCAAAGAACCTCACTTCCAGGTAACTTTTTCTGTCACTCTTCTCCCTGGGTTCCCTATGCTCCACCGTGTTCTCATTTAGTAGTTACACTGCAGTTTAAGGTGATTTTTCTTTTGAAGATTACTTAGGGCCATGGTTAATATTAGTCATTGTGAACCTTTTAGAGATTGAGTGCCAAACTGCAACTCAAAACCCACTTACTTATCACGAAGTGTGGACATGGTAATTAAATCTGAATACTGAAGTTTTAATTTAGAAAAAGCAATTCATACATTAACATCTTTTGTCTTAAAAGTAAAACACAGCTGGGCATGATGATGCATACTTATAGTTCCAGCACTCAGGAAGCTGAGGCAGGAGGATCAGCATGAATTCCAAGACCCACCTGGACTACATAGTGAGTTCAAGGCCAGCCTGAGCGATGTAACAAAACTCTGTCTGGAAAAAGAAAAACATGATAGCACACATGCCGTAGGTTTGCCACCACTAACTTACAAGTATGCACCTTCTGACTTAGGTTTTTGAGTATCCTGATAAGCTGAAGATATATATCAAACATAACTATACATACTTAAGTAAGTATATTCTACATATATGTACAATGTCCATTACAGAAGTACATCACCATGGATTTTCTTTTGTGCATTTAAGGAAAACAATAACCTTGATGAACTGTCAGAACATACCATAGTAACATTTCTTCACTATAAGAATGGATTCCTTTCTTCTTTACTACCACTGTGCTTCCCAGTCCTTTTTGGGCCCAATAAGGGCTATTTTTTAGCAGTGCTTCTCAAGATTGGGATGCTGCAATGACTATTGGGACAGTACAGCTCAGGATGAAAACTTATATAACATACTGCATTCCACAGATATGAGAAATAAGTAGAGTTTAGTCATTGTCCTGTGCATGATTTAATCAGTTTCATGAAGAGGAATCCATTAAAAATAAAAAGTTTATTTTTAACCTGTAATTAAGATAGTATTATACTGGGGAATATTAAGGAAATAAATTAATTGAAGAGACTAGAAGTCCCAGAAATACGACTAGTCCTGTGTATCAGCTAGTTTTATGAGAAACTTGCATTTTGATGGGAAAGAATGTTGTTAAGATAGAAGGGTACTATTGTAGAGTCACCTCTTTTTTGCACTACAAGAGCTAGCACTAAAAATCAAGTGGTGGTACCTGGTTTTTCTCATACAAATATGTGATAGGGATTTTGGCGTAAAGAAAGAGAAAAAAGAATATAAAGAAACAGTAGCCTTTATTTTAAGGATGAGGAGAAGCACCCTACAACCAAAGATGACCGGGCCTCTTCGGATGTGGGGTATGGAGACATATATACAACCTCTGACCGGGATTTGCACTTAGGGCGGGCATTGATGACGTGCGAGCAGCTGATTGGGATTTTATTCACGCCACTGGTAGAAGGAAAAGGAAGTTGTCATAAGGGAAGGGGGAAGTGACCACAAGGTAAACATTCTTAAGTTCCCCCTCCCACTGCCATAATATGGTATCTAGGGCAAAATCCTTTCATTATGTATGTCTAAGAATGATAGTGCAGAATGTAAAGATTAATGATGTATTTCCTACATAAGCCAGTGCCTTGTGTATGGAACCATGGATATGTGTCAGGAACATTTTTTTTTTCAGGAATCATTTGATTGAATCTTTTATAAAATATAATAAATTATTCAGACTTTATCCAGAGAATAAGTGGAAATGTTAGAGGCAGGGAATTACTATTAATAAGAATTTCCATCCCACATCTATGTGTGGCATTTGGTTGAGTGTCCTAGAAAACCTACCCTTCCCCTTTATTGTGATGTTGACCTAGGAAGAGACCACTTCATTGTCTAGTCCTATTTTGTGGATTTGTCTGTTTCCTGCTGTGTTGTTGTCTCTTCTATTTCCGGTAAACAAGTATTTTAACTGAAAGGTTGGTGATTCAAGTTCATTATTTGGAACTAGAATGCATCTTAAATAATGTGATGCAACATACGTTAGATTACATCAGAAAATTCATACTACCTGGTTGCTCTATCACTGTTGATGTAGAGATTGATTGTTCCATTGATTAAGGGTGATGACACTCTCTTCTTTTCTTTGAACTTTTCTAGAAAGTAATCTTTACCAAGAAGTAATCTAAGATGTTATACAGACATGCAAATGCTATTACCTACCAACCATTTATTTGCCTTTTAATGAACACAGATTAATAATCTGTTACATGGGGCTGGGGATTTAGCTCAGCAGCATAAGCACCTGCCTTGCAAGCATGCAGTTGTGAGTTCGATCCCTGGTACCGGTAAAAAAAATAATCTATTGCTAAATCAGTATTTTTCATTAAAGGTTACAATATGACATTTTCTTATTCTACAATTATTAGCCTAGTGTTCCTCTTAAACATAGAGCTTCTTATCAGTTAGCTTGTTATTTTGCAGTGCATTTCCATTGAAAAAGAAAGTAAATTGTTCTCTTTACCAGTTTTAAAAGTAAAAAGTTGTTTAAATGTTGGATGTAGTGGTACATACCAGTAATCTCAGCACTCAGGGAAGCTGAAGCAAGAGGATTGTCAAGTTTATTCCCAGGCTGGACAACTTAATTGTTTTGTAAGACCTTATCTCAAAATAAAAAGTGAAAAAGGAACTGGGACATTGCTCAGTGAAAAGACCCTGGATTCAATCCAAAGTACCAAAAAAAGAAAAGTTGTAATAAATGAGTTTTTCAAACCTTCCATATTTTAAATAGAAATGTAGACTTGGGAAATTTTCATTAATTGATTCAGTTTTCTACAATTACTCTTAGTTTTCAAAATGTTATGACTTTAGCCAGTTATGGGCAGTTTTAGTATATAAATCTGAAGCTCATGAGACTTCTGGACAAGACATGTAAAACTGAGAGTTTTTAATGTTTAAGTAGTGATTTCATGGAAATGAAAACTGCCTAAAAATAAAATATAGAATAAAAAACCAAGCAGCACATGTTGGAACTTTGAAGAATCCTTACATATGGATTTATTTTTCTTTGTGAATTTTTTCTCCAGTTTCTAATAAACGATTTTGTAGAATCACTAGGAATTACCAATTAAGCCAGTATTCAGATTCTTTGTTTTGAACCTGCTATTTGTTCCTCTCTTATATTTTGATTTTCAGGGGTTGGGGGGTTGGGGTTTTTTTTGTTTTGTTTTGTTTTGTTTTGTTTTGCTTTTTGAGCTTGTATTCTGTTCACTGTAATTATTTTATACTTAGCTTTATATGAGTATGCAAATTACAGTGTACCTTATTCCTTTAGGACAAGGAATAAAAAAATTAAATATAAAATAAAAACCAAGAAATTTTTAGAGAGCTAAATAAAACCAAAGTGATGACAGGACATACATAGTAAAACTAGAAGTTAAAAAATACATTGTATCCAGCATTATTACTGACTCATTTTTCCCCATCAAAAATATCTCACATTGACTAAAATTTTTATTGGTGGTATAAAATTTCCCATCATTGATGTAAGATGCTAGTATTTTCTGTTGGATATGGATATCTTTTTAAGACATTTTATACATGTAAAAAAGAGGTATTACTAATTTAGCAATGAAAGGGTAAAAATTTGGATCCTTGTCATTTATATTTTCATGATGCCTGGTAAATACAGGTTAATAATAAATACAAAAAGTTAAGGATGCTGCCAATGGTAGTGAAATTCAGTGCCTTCTCTTCCCCATACTTGGAAACTTAGGTCGATTTCCAGTGAGCATGCCACATTAAAAAAGTGTGACTGAATTCCGTCTGTTCAAATCTAAAACAAGAATATTGCTCAGAGATAATGAAACTATGTATTTTTATATATTTTAAAATAAGATTCTATGTTTGATTTGATTCATGTTTGGGAATTTAATAATACATGCATTGGAAATTCTTAATACTCAGCTGGAATAATGAACTAGCAAATTATTTTTAGTAACTTATTCCATCAGTAGCTAATAAACCACATGGTGTTTTGACTTCTAGTCTCTCTTGGAAGCTCATGATATTGTGGCATCAAAGTGTTATGATTCACCTCCATCAAGCCCAGAATTGAATAATTCTTCTATCAATAATCAGTTATTACCAGTGGATGCCATTCGTATTCTTGGTATTCACAAAAGAGCTGGGGAGCCATTGGTGAGTAGATAAGTCAGTGCCTTCTTAAATCTAAACTATAAAATCATTTGTAACTTCGTCACTATTCTTAATAGATTTTTTCTTTTTCATACTATATTAGTGTGAACGTTGTATTCACACATGGTTATGAAGTCTTTTTGGTCCATATTTAAATATATACTGATGTTCTGTCAACTTAATTTATTTTATGAAGCAAAACCAGAATGAAAATTTAAACTGAATTAGAAGCTAGAAATAGGCCAATGGGTAGCCAAAAAAAAAGAAATAAGGACTCAAAAGGTAAAGATAATTACTCTATTTCTTCTAATCTTTTAAAAAACTGAATTCAGGTTGCTTACCAATGGTAATACCAAAACACAGAAAAAAATTATACTAAAAATTGAAGCCATGGTAGGACCCTAGAAGTAGTGAAAGTTGCTGTCTTTTGCTAAAATTATGTATTTGTGGGTCCTAAGAAAAGTGAAATGGAAAAGTGGGAAAGCTAGGTAAAAGTCCATCAAAAAGAACAAATACCTTGACTTGTTTCCTTGAGTTTCCTTTTATACTGTATAGACCATATACTAGTGTGTTTCATTTTTAGGGTCAGCCTTACTATGAAAGTCAGTTTTGATGGCATGCTAAAAGTTGTCACAGTTGCATTTAATGAGATTAAAATATTAAAGATAGAAAAGAACATGAGAAAAGTATGAGAACAATCTCATGTCATATATATCTCATGTCTCATATATCTCATGTCTCATACTTTCTCAAAAGTATGAGAAAAACATGAGAACAATCCCCTTACTTAGTTTTAGAATATTTTATTATATATTCATGAATATTTATATGTTTCTTCTTAATAATTATTATTGTTTCCTATAGGGTGTGACATTTAGGGTTGAAAATAATGATCTGGTAATTGCCCGAATCCTTCATGGAGGAATGATAGATCGACAAGGTCTACTTCATGTTGGTGATATCATTAAAGAAGTCAATGGCCATGAGGTTGGAAACAATCCGAAGGAATTACAAGAATTGCTGAAAAATATTAGTGGAAGTGTCACTCTAAAAATCTTACCAAGTTATAGAGATACCATTACTCCTCAACAGGTTAGTAATAAAATTTTGATAAAATTAAGAATTTTTTTTCTTTAATCACTCCATTGGATATAACTAGAGGATGCTACTATTTTGCTAAAAAATAGAGAAATTCAAATGTCAGGTTTAATCTCTCTGAACTGATTTGTTTTGTCATGATTTTTTGAGTAATTAATATTGTATCATTAGGGAAAAAGTAAGGACATTTCTTTGTGAATATGATGAAACCCTGTCATTACAATGGCCTGTAGCTAGCTAGGAATAGCTTTTAATTATTAATCTCGTAAACAGTTTCATAAACATTTTTAGTATCCTTGATCTTTGAGGCACTGTATAAGGATCTTTGAGAGAATGTGGTTTGCATCTGCCTCTGGTTAGTATTTATGTGATAGGCTAATTGAAGAATGAAGCCAGAAAGAAAGATCAATACAGATTGAAAAAAATCTTGGACAGTTAATTTGGACGCATTTGATTTGTATGTTAGGTAAAATAGATAAATGAACAAGGGATTCTCTTAATAGAGACCATCAATGTTCACAGGTGGCTGCTGTTATTGCTGTGGTGGTGATGATGAGGTAGCAGTGGGAAGGTAGAATTATAAAGAAAACAAGGGTTGGGGATTTAGCTCAGCAGTGTAAGCGCCTGCCTAGCATGCACAAGGTTGTGAGCTCTATCTCTGGATCCAAAAAAAGGAAAGAAAGAAAGGAATTGCAGAGAAAGAATTGGAACTCATAATATTGGAACTGAAGGAAAGTGTTTTCAAACTTAAATAACAGAAATAAATGTCCACCTGTTCTTTCAGATTGATATCTTTTGTGTTCAGGTTAAATCTAGTAATTTATTCTTTAATGTATGGACAAAATTGTAAGATTTCATGCCTAAGGTACTGCCAGTATATTTTATTTTCATACAGGTAGTATGAGTTTAAAAGTGTAGCTTTTATGTTTCCTATACAACTCTTTGAAAAAATACTTACCAAATGCTTATTTTAAATTCTTCTTTGGAAGAGAGGAGAGACTACTTAATTGTGAATTTTAGTATGTAAATTGAACTTCTGAAAATAAATATATTTGTAAGGAACTGGTTGAAATGAAGGTAGAGAACTTAATTTCAAGGAAGGCAGTCATGAAAAAGAAATAATATTGGAACTAGGCATTGTGTACAACTAGTACCTTCTAGGGAACTTTTATTCCTTTGTTGGCATATGCCCATTTGTGACAACAGAAAACCTAATCTTAGATCTAAATTGGAAGAAAAAAAGATTTATTATCTTCATTATTGTGTTGTGATAGAAATTCTTTTTTCTTTCTATGATTCATACTCCAGAATTCTTACAGTTCACCATAGCTGTAATAACTTTATAAACAAAACAAATTTTGGTAATACTAGGTTCTTACATGGATTTTGTGTTTGGTGAACTATGAATGGCATAAAATGCATGAATATTTAGCCTTAAGCATAAACATTTCCTCCCAAACTTTAAGTTCTGGTTTTCATTTGGCCATTAGAGCTTAGGGAATGGATTGACAATAGGGGGAAAAAGGCATATAAGTCTTACAAGTTGTCTCAACCCTATCCTATCATTTTAAAAAAAAGACACTATGATATATAGGCTCCCAAAGAAGGGCTAACATATATTCAACTGGAATTTTTTTTTTCATGAATAAGAGAGCTATTACTCATTGTGTTAAAACAGTTAGTATATACCAACATTGACCTGGCAATTAAACAACCGTGTACGTCCTGCTCAGAAGTACTGTGGGGAAGAAAGGACACTTATTTTCTTCAGCACTTTCATTAGTAGCAAAATAGGAATCCCCACTTTATTACAATTGTGCTTTCTGCGGTTTGTTATCCAGGGTCAACAAAATCTGAAAATATTAATGGAAATTTCCTGAAACCAGTAATTCATAAATTATAATTGCCCACCATTCTCAGTGGTGTGATAAGATATTGTGCCACCCTGCTCAGTTCTGCATATGTTTATCCCTTTGTCCAGAATACTCACCTCACCCTCTCTACACTACCTGTCAGTTAGTCACTTAGTGGCTGTCTCCGTCTTCAGACAGACTACCATAGTGTTATAGTGCTTGGGTTTAACTCGTTTTACTTAATAATGACTGACCTCAAGACACAAGAGGAGTGAGGCTGGCAAGTTGGATAGGCCAGTTTGGAAACTATAAAATGACTCTTTTAAGATTTCAAGTTAATGCCTGGCAAGCACGAGGTCCTGAGTTCGATCCCCAGTACCCCCCCCCAAAAAAAAAAAAAAAAAACTCAAGTTAATAAAAAAGGAAAAGAAGACTATGCTGAAGTTGCTAAGATCTACAGTAAGAATAGATCTACCTGTGAAATGGTAAAGAAAAGGAAATTAGTGCTAGTTTTGCTGTCTCATCCCAAACAGCAAAAGTTAATGACTATAATGTAAAAACATTAAGATGTAAACCATTGAATTATAGGGTTCATATCCCCCATAAAAAGGTGGAGATTTTTGTACTCTGAAGCCTGTCATAGTTCTGCCTCTAGATTGCTGTGAGAGCAGATGGAAGCCAGGAGTTCTCTCTGCCAGGGGGCTGTTTTTCAAAGCATGTCAGTAGGTAATCTTTGTTAGAACCATTTGAAGTATTGACTGAAAGGTCAGAATATTTATGAGGCACAAAAATCTGTATTTTTTTAAATTTGAGAACAAGTATAAGTTAGAAGTTGTAGTTAATTCTGAAGTTCTTTAACTTATATAGGTTAGGTTATTTGTAGTTCTCCTTGTTCATTAAAGTAAATTGATAGGCATTCCTTTTATTCTTTAAGACCAGTAGGAACACCAAAAACATTATAGAAGAAATTACAGTTTCATTTCATTCAAAGATATATATACAGTGCATACAAAAATTCTCAACAAAATATTAGCAAATCAAATTTAGTCATATTAAAAAAGATACATATCCATGTTGTATTTATTATAAGAATACTAGCAGTTTCATACTAGAAAATCTGTATGTGTAACTAAAGATATTAATGTATTAAAAAGGAATAGCCTCAATAGACAATTTGATAAAATTTAGTACCTATTCATGTTTTCTCTTAAGATTAGTTACTAAAATAGGAAGAGAAGAATCTATTTTATCTACAAAAAATGGGGGTGGGTAATCCTCAGTAATTGACTGTTAGAAGCATTTCCTTTAAAATCAGAAACTGGACTCTCAGCTAGTCTGCCTGAGACGACTTTAATGCCAACTCTAGCTCCTCCATGAAACCCCATTTCTAACAAAATGAAAGAACCTATAATAAACTAAGAGAAACTTGCCAAATATTAGACACAGTTGTACAGTGGTAAAAAGGAATTACTCTCAAGAGATACAACCAACACTCTCTGTTTCAATAAGAATTCCCAGTTCTCCTTTACAAAATTAGGAAGAAGGGAAAGAGAGTGAAAAAACACTCTGTTATGTATAATTTGTGTACTAATTCCTCATAGTAAACATTATATATTATAAACATGTACCACGTATTTTTTTTTTAAAAAGGAATGAGCAGTATCCCTGATGTTAACGATGTAATAATGTTTGCATACCACAGAATCAATCCACTTTAATAATCCTAGTGTTCAGACATCCCTGGCAACAAACACTTTCACTATTCCCAACCATGATGAGACAAAGCAATTGGCAAGTGTGTCAACCAGGATCTTAAACCAGCGAGGCTCTAACAGGCTTCAGGACATTGGCAGAAGCTGGATGGGAAAGCGTCACTTGCTACAGAGAATGGTGGTCTTGTTCAGAATTTTGATAAAGCTTCTAGCATGAAGCAAAATGAATGTATTAAACTTCTTTTTAAAAATTTATGAATTTTTACTGCATTTAAACTTGGTCAGGACATGGTAAAGTATAAATCTGTAATATTTTGAATGTTAAGGCTGTAGACACTACTGCTTTTTAATTATTGTTTATATTCAATTATTTGTTTGCTGTTAATTAAAACCAGAGAAGCCAAAAAGTAAAGTTTAAAACAAAGATTAAAGTTTTCACCTATTGGAAAAGAAAATCCAAGCTGGGTGTGGAGGTACATGTCTGTATTCCCATCACTTGGGAGACTGAGGCAGGACTGAGTTTGAAGCCAATCTTGACTATAAAAAGTGAATTCAGGGCCAGCCTGAACTATATAAAACCAAAAAACTAAACTGAAATAAAAATAAGTAAAATATCAAATAAAAATAAATTTAAAAAATTACAAATAGAGTAAGAGGTTCACTAGCACCACTTAAAGTCAGTATTTTCTTAAAGGCTGCATAATCACACTATGAAAAGACATTACAGACATAAAAGACTTGGGAAAAAGGTATAAAATTTATTTATAAATAATATGATTTTTGGCATAGAACCCCCCCCCAAACTATAGTTTAGCAATGATAGTTTAGTAAAGTAATTGAAAATAAGGTTAACATATAGCAGGGATTTGTAGTTTTGTATCATAGCAAACATCTAGAAACATAACTTAGACATTTATGCTGCAGCCAGAGAATATCACATGTATGTCTAAGAATAAACCTAACAAAACATTTAAGCTCTCTCCACAAAAGAATTGTAATGATTCAGTGAAATTTCAATCAAAATTGCAATAGTATTTTTTGTGTCCTTTGATAGGATAAATTACCAAAACACTTTTAAGTTACAAACTCAGGAACAGAGATCTATTATTGTTGTGCAAAAATTAAGATATTGTGGCACTGACATTGAAATAGATATACCATGATCAGTGAAATAGAGAACTCAAAGAGATCTACACATGTATATTACTTTGGTATCTGACAAAGATACGCCTTTCAGTAGAAAAGGAGAAATTATCTGAGGAATATACAGAGATTGTTTGCTCACAGGGGCAATATGTAAAATTGTGTTCCTCAGGGTTGGGGATATAGCATAGCAGCACCAGCTACCTGTCTGGCAAGCACAAGGTTGTGAGTTCGATCTCTGGTAGCCCCCCCCCCCAAATAATAAAAAAATTGTGTTCCTCTTTCA